ACTTACTTACCTTACGTACTTACTTACTTACTTTACTTACTTTACTTTACTTTACTTTACTTTCTTTCTTCCTTCCTCCCTTCCCCCCCCCCCCCCCCCCCCCCCGTTCCATTTCATTTGCGCGGTAGGTATCGTACAAATCGGGCGACAATAGTGCATCATCATCCTCTCCAATGGCCAAACGGTCGAAGGACAAGCGCAAGCAGTCCAACCCAGTCGAACTAGAAGGTATTTCCACTATCAACAGGTGAGCTCGGAGGACATATAGCCCTCTCTCTGGGAACGTAGCAACTTATGTGCTACATACAACCCCTTGTTGTGAAACCCTGTGAGTTCATGTAGGTAGACATGTAGGTGCAATACAGAGTAGGGGACGCACACCACCCAACGGTACTGCTGAAGTTTATACGAATCCCGTGGTTTTAGGGGTTTTTTATGTAAGATTTCAGGGCTTTAGGGTTTTTAAACCTTAAAACCGTGGACTGCTTGACGGTCTCAGTGTAGTGAAGGGCATCCATACCGTAACTCCAAACAGCAGAAACGACAATTCAAGCGACCGGGCGCATGTAGGGAGATATTTAATTAGAGCGACAGGAAATACAGGGAGCCTATAAGTATACATATTTGGTAGTTGGTGGGGTTCCTATGGCTATAGGTCTTACCATCACAAATTTTGGGGCGTTAAGACTAGTTAAGCTAGATGTGTAGGGAAACTGAGTTCTGGCGCGTGCATGCCGGCGAGTTGGCTTCTCGAAGGGCGAGTGCAGTGGAGAGCCCCCTAGAACATGTAGAACTAGCGTGTAGTTCAATATGTGTAGGATGCTAGATGTGAACGAGACACACGAACGGCACGGTGAGATGGACATCGTGAGCCGTGTGGATAGAGTGGACGGTATATTTATTCTCAACACGTTGAACGTCCGTAGTATATATACAGTAATCAGTCACACGCTGATGCTTGGTCCGTGACAGTGTACTGGGCTTGCCGATGAATGAATAATGGACAGGCTTCCTGCTTCGCGCGCGGTTCGGCGAGGTTAAGAGGGGTTTGCACTCACTATCAGGCAATATTCACTAGTCAATGCCTGAGGACACTCAAGGCCACACTCGCCCACGGACGCCCACATGAACGTAAGTACAAATATGCACAAGTGTGATAACTCCGCAGAGTACATGGCCCCGTGTCTACGGTATATTTATATGGCCTTTGTTTGAACCCGTCTGAGGAAGTTTGTGCCGGTAAATAGATGCTGTCTGGTAGCGAAGAGGAGAGAGAGATGGAGGTGATTACAGTATCACAGCATACGCAGGCGGATGTTTCTATTTGTGTGGCTTGCAACCAGAGAGACGAGTGCACCTGCGTTCGCCTATGTGGTACTGACGAATGCTGATAGCGAATGCTTGTATAGGTACGCTCAGTTGTGACACAGTTCTTACACATGAGTAGTCACCGGCACCGCGAAGGGCGAGGAAACTGGAGGAAATATGAGAGACCCGTCGCTTGAATATAGAATTGATTAGCCTCGCATAGTGCACTCATTGTGGGGGATCGGCGACTGACAATCAACAATTCTCAAACGTGACACAACTCGTAGTAGAGTATTTAAATGAGAAAACTTTAGTTAATTTTTAGGTATTAGTTATCAGTTAAAAATTAAATAAAACTTCCAAACTTGGAAGAGTTTATATTTTGGATACCTTGGAGATGCTGCAGACCAATTTTAAGTTCTGCTGACGCAACTTTTAAGGCAAGCCAAATGTTTCGAACAGCTACAAAAAAAATGAGGGGCCAGACTCCAGAGGGATTACTGGTAGTCTAGTTGCGGAGAATTTGACGAGTTCAAGCCGGGGATATTCGTGACGGATACGTTTAAAGGTATCTCACAACTAGGTGGAATGTGACTTTGTTCATCGACGCATGTACCATAGTAATGACTCATCTGAACTTTGAATTGACCCTGCTCATTGAATCACAGAGTCGTGGTGTAGATGTTATACAGACTCCTAATGGAACGTAGACTTGGCAAGCAAAGCAGTGTAAATTAATATCCGATTCAGCAACTTAATCACTCAATTCGAACCCTATACCATTAACCCGTTTGCAATTCTAACATCCAATTATAACTGCGTGTAGCCTGAGCGAATCACGATATGCAATTGCTGGTTTTGGTTGCAGTCGAAATAGCAGCGTTGGGTGCAAAGTCGTGGTTGTGCAGAGGGCCTCCATGTATTTTCTGATCTACGAAGTGTATATGGACAGACGGGGTCGATTTGTGTTATGTCGAAGCAGCATTCACAGGATTCCATTTTAGTCACTTCGTGAATACATTGTAGAAGTGACAGTGAGCGTTGTGTGTGCTCGAGCCGTGGAGTGAGACAAAAAGAATGAGAAGATCATCATTGCGTAAGTCGAGGTGCTAGAATCCCGGCTTGAGTGTCTGATACTTACCAACAAGTACGATGTATGTATACACACTAACCCACCCACCTCCCCTCGTAAAAGAAGGTTGTGTTTTACAACCTCTGCTGCTCCTATCTTCCGATACCATTCTATCATCGCAGATGTATCATCAATTGCCCCTCTCGCGGTTCCACAGCATCATTTCCCCTTCATGGACGCAAGTAATCGAAAGTAAATTAACATCTACTTACGGGGCCCACAGAATCCAGCTTGCCTATCAGAAACAGAGATAAGTCTACATAAATAGATAATAAGTGGATATCAAGATAGGATCGCCTGCATTGATTATTGCAAGCTAGTAGTGCTACCAAAAAAAAAGACATATCTAACAATATAATGTAGTAATAGAAAAAGCAATTTGATATAGGAACGCATACGTTTAATATTCAGCATTTATAAAGAACAAAAATGAAAGTCATGTCAAAAGCAATTTAGGTCATGATGACAGTTTTTGGACATTTCTGACAGATTTGTTTTAAATGCAAAACAACTCGGGGATTTATCACGCCGTAGATTCGATAATATGGGACATGCTTTTTATACTGTTCTGGACGGCGGTCTGCTGCTTGTTATGAATGCGAAGTTGGTTTTAGTGTAAGTAGCCATTAAGCAAAAAGCACCTCGTGGGCTGTTCTAGACACGATTACTTTGCAATTTAAATACAAACAACATGTGCGCACCCCGAGAGGGGGACTATTGGTAACTACTTCGCGCATTGAACTGCCATGTTCACCAGTGCGCTGTAAAGATAAAATCGAATCAAAGCTATAAGCACCTCAAATATCATATTGACTAGTAGTGGACATTGGCATGGCTTTACTGTAGCATACTCAAGAAGATACGTTGTAGATATACATGCCGCAGCAGTGCTCATCAATAGGATCGAGTGGGACGGGTTCTGACCTCCAACACATAATTTAGATGTTACTAGTACCGCTGTAGTATTTTATCAATTAAACCCAAAACCCTAAAACCCTAAACCCTAAAACCCTAAAATCGGGGAGTTGCTTTGGAAATGTTTATATTAATATTTAAGGTACACACGGGTACCTTGATAATCATGTCGCAGTTTTACTATTTTTTGAGGCTATTATTTGCATACCTTGGACCAGATGGCGGCGCCAAAGATTTTTCAGCGATTTTCGCTTCTTCGTCCGGATGAATTGTATGCAATGCGGCCTTTATTCGGTATTGCCCTGAATCAGTGGTGACGTTTCATGTACTTCTAGGTATATAGGTCTGATGATTGATTTATTTCTATTCCTCTGAAATTGTGCCTCGGCTAGGAACACTTGTCAAGTATGCGCCAGTACCCAGCTTGGGGTTGTAACCGTTGAGCGATTGCGACTCTCTTCGGCGAGTATTTGGAAGGCAATTGATGGCGCTTAGAACCTGCGGAAGCAGTGTTTGGTGAGGTTGAGCTACTGTCAAAAACTGTGGGAATTGTTAAACTCTCAAATGAAAAAAATCTGTTGGCATCTACAAACCGCGAATACGGGTACCGCTGGCTTTATTAAGTTTCAATTCAGTTAAGTTTAATATACCACTGAGCTTTGTGTGGGGGGTATTGCGAGCTGTTAGAAGGATGTCGAGATCATGCAAAGCTGCTTATGTATATGTTTATTTCTGACCTCACCTTTGGTTTTATACTCAAGGCGTTTGTGCTAGTGTTTAGCCGGTTGGGCTGGCCAGGGTAAAAACTCATATGGCCAGTATGAGAAGCCTTATACAGAACACTTTCGCTAATCACATGACCCCTTTCCGCATAGGTTGTGACTCGCATAGAACAGCAGCTAGTTTAAATGTTGCGGGTAGCAGACTTAATCCACTCTCGGGAGTTCGGTAAGAAACCTTGCTCTCGGTAGTCGGTTAAGTATTAAATCAATTCTCGGGAGTAATTTAAGCAACTTGATTAACTCTCGGGAGTGAGCTAACTCTGATGACTTCCATAAACTAAAAGGGTTTCTTGCTGTAAAATCTGGCCTGAGACCTGTAGTCTCTCATCTTAAAAAGACCGAAGTGGCTAGATCATATGTAAAGAAGGCTGGTCAAGTGATGAAGTATAAAATCCCGTTGATTTTCAATGGCAATAGTGTCATCGGGTAGAGATGATGTTTTCATCGCATATAGTAGTGAATCGAATACTTTTGCAATATGCTTTCTTTACAGCAGAGTGTGTGTTTAGAGTGCTTTTGTTCTCCAGTCATGGCGGAAAAATATCGGTTCAATTTGAATGAAGCAGCGAGTAACACACGCGCAGCCTTTCTATACAATACTGCTTGGTCCGCGCGTTCAGTGGTCCGCTTCGTGTCGGTTCATAGCGGCTAGACAACTATGTAGTATTCGTGTTATCTAGCATGATTGTTTGTATCTGCGTTGCTAGTGAGTATATGTGATGCAGCAAATGTTGTCAACTACCATGCTGCTAAAGAGAAAGGATCGGTGCGAAATGTATTATGCAATTGAGGGTGCATGAAAAACCCGAAGATTTCTGTCGAGGCGGTTGGGGTTGATATATGTATCAAGACAAAGACTGAGTGTTAATTCATATGTGAGTCCCATTGATTTGCGGGCGCATGAGAAAACGTGACCTATTCCGTCGATTCGTGGCCTGGTAAACATTTATTTACTAAGCGACAAGAGAGGAACCCGTAAGAATGAAATTGGGTGTTTGCTTACACTCGAGGTAGGGGAAGCTTTTAACTTGGTTCCAAAAACGATTAGATCTCTGCAACTGTCAGGACGTACTTCGTATTTGTATGACAGACTTATCAGTGTGCTTTCCTCATGATGCATACATTTATACCAAGGTTCAATCTCTTCCGATCCAAGTAACGTAATCGTCTACGTGAATTCCAAATAACCACTGTAAAACATTATTCATTCACAGTACCTTAGAAGAAAAAAAGGAACAATCAGTGACCGAGAGACTAGCTTTTATAGTCTACTTAGGAATATATAACTCACATTTGGAAAACAATGCCATTGGGTTGCGCGACTATGTGGATTAGTTAATCTGAACTTTTGAACTGGCAATATTAGAGTGTGGGGTATGAAAGGACGTTGTATTAGATAATGCACCTTCAAATTCGACCGCTGTATGTTGTTTAGATGGCCACTTCGAAATGTTCCTTGGTAGAACCTAGACACCATTTAACAAGTATACCAAGTATAGATTCAACTTGACAATGAAAGGAGCATCATATCGGTAAGGTGATCATTCCCTCATTCTGGATCGAGTTGTTGGGGGAAACGGGTACAAGAAATTCAACGCCGCAGCCGTCGGTCTGCTAATAAACATGAACAGAAGATGGACTTCGCTCCTCATCGATGCTGACCAAGGAACCTATTAGGGTAACGAGCTGTTTTTGTGTTTTTTTTCAGTCATCGCGGATTTAGATTTTTAAGATAAAAATTAAAGAGGTAGTCATGAAGATATATAATTATAAAGAGAAGTTCATGAATGGCATATTATAGTACAGGCATGCAGATCTATAAAGATTTATCAAGGCAAGAACCATGAGAATGAAGAATATGTAGGTCATGCTGACCATTCCACTTCATCGAATATGTTATCTAAGCGTTTATGAATAATTGTTCGACTGTGACCCACAGACTTCAAACGTTCTTATTCCGACATTGATTCGTTTCTCCAAACTAAGAAATGAGAACGTCTTGCAAAATCAGACGTGACACATTTGACTGTGATCTATGGCCATTAAAATAAAATAAAACTTCACACCATACAAATGAAGAACGACGCTAAAATTGAATCGCGACCTATTCAATTCACAAAGATGTTGTCCACCGTGCATGATCGCATATCACTTCAGTTAGTCTTCGTAGTTGTCAGCTCAGTTTTGAACATGCAACCAGTCGACTTTGTCTCAATCGATGATTCAACACATCGTTGTCTGTTGCTATGACGTAGCATAAATATGAAGATAAAAGTGGATGACACAGTAGATCTATCTGACACTAGAAAGCAAACTATTATAATACCCATTAGCAGTGAATTCACATCATGATATTTGGCTCCGTGTAATTATTTCAGGCTTTGAAATCGCAGCGTTTGAATATAGCTCACAAAACTCGAATCAACCACTAAAAAATGATTTCAGAGAACATACATTCGAATATAATTGTGAATGGGGCCAAAATTCAGTCGTATATTATTGGAAAACCCTTTACCACTGTGCCCAATAGTCTCTCTACACCCTGGCTGAACTTGCAATATTCGAATGTTTTAATGGTTTTCCTTGAACAATCGGATCAGGCCATTTTGTTTACTTCTTTGCGCTTGTGCTCTTTGTGGGTCCAAGGTAAAATGGACTATAACACCTCGTCACCCTCGCTCACGAGCTCCACAGTCCTACCCATATTATTTGCATTTTGCTACCGCAATGCAACGATAAAATAGACGACTCCCCATTGGCGCTGCCCTTGCATCATAACACCAGGGGAATCAATCACAAAAGGTTTGTCTAACGACTGGAATATCTGATGCGTTTGATACAAAACTGGTATTATTTTAAACCTACTCTTTGCGTGCTGGTGCACTGCGAATTATATTGATTTGAACTCATGAAACATACACATCGATAACTAAGGTTGCTCACCACACGTTTCATCAATGGGCCTGGCGTCATACCTGGCGCCCACCACAGCCTTTACTTCGATTTCCAGGTTTACGCGTAATCGACTCTGGCCCCGGTCCGAGTTCTGTGCGGCGCATTACACTGGGAAACGAGCCAGTCGCTTAATAAATGCTGCATATCAATCACTTCGAATCCATCACTGGACAACTTACAAATCTACTCGTCAACTAATTTATATATAGAGCTCGACTTGTGATCTTTCCACCAACGAACGTACTGGTAGTTTCTCGCTCAGCCTCCATTTATTCAATCATGACTCTTAAGCTTCAAAATACCCATATGCTCTACTGTTCACCATTTCGAAACATGATCCATACTTCATCCGCAAACATCGTACTTTGCTTCACCCTCTGTTCTAAGCGTCACCACTTTCCCTTCTAAAAGACGGCACATTCTTTGTCTACAGCGCAACTGTTCTAACATCCTATTTTGCGCTTTCACCATACCCCACCGTTTTCCTTTCTAGAACACAACCCATCCTTTGTCCACATGTATCGCGAAGCTCTGGCACACTTCTTTTTGCCGAGGATGATACTTGGAAGCCGGACCGGCAAATCTATCTCGGGATGTCGCCACAAGCTTTTGCATGTGATGTTCACGCATCTCTGAAGGCAAATTGTATCATTTGCTGTTTCTTCTGAGCACGTGGTATGTGTGGGATACGACTCTTTTGACCCGCACTGAGACGCCCCTTCGTCACCTGGGCCCGGCTTCTCCTAGTGTCACAGTAGTTGGATTTTGAATTTAGAATCAACCTCAGACGAATCTATGGCCTAGTAAAGGGTAATAGTCGTATCTGATCTCTTCATCGTTTGTTAGCGACGGGACAAAAAAGACTCCAGGCGACGAAAATTCAAGATAGAGTAATCGATGTTGTCGAAGCGGAAGAGTCGGAGACACCGAGAGACAGTAGACTCTGAGGCTCTCTACAAAGTAGGCTGACTCAGGGCTCAGGGCTGAGGTCTCGGGTCTAGGGTCTCGGGGCTCAGAGCTCAGGGCTCAGGACTTAGGGGCTCATGGGCTCAGGGGCTCAGGGATTAGGGTTGTCTGCCTCGGCTGGCTGGCTGGCTGGCTGGCTGGCTGGGTGGGTGGGTGGGTGGGTGGGTGGCTGGGCTGAGCTAAGCTGGGCTGGGCTGGCTGGAGAGGCTGGTTGAGCTACTGGGGAGTAGTATAGGTTGGTAGCACGAGAGTAGAGTGACCTGATATTAGCGTGCGGTGTGGGGACTAGTAGTAAAGTGCTAGTGTATCTAAAGTATGGTCCATTCGAATGAATTTATTTATGATCTCACCCTCAGTTATATACCGATGGTGTTTGTACTAGTGTTCAACCACTTGGGTTGGCCAGGGTAAAAACTCATATGATCAGTATGAGAAACCTTATGCAGAACACTTTGGCACTCGGATATATTTTCTAGAAATAAATATATTATATCCTCTGTTACTACACTCAGTCTCGGACCTCGGCTCTCGGCTAGCCGGTGGCCCGTATTCTATAAATAGAGTAATCTGAGAAGAAGTCTCAAGTTACTCTTACGTTCTCTCGGGCTGACCCACATTTATTTGAGAACAAGTCCCAAATTACTCTCGGGCTGACGACGTAAAACGTTATTAACGTATATAGAAATACGTCTACTACTGTAGTCTCTCATCTTTACCCAGCGCGTCAATGAAAGAAAGCAGGGAACTCTGACAGATATTGGCGATCACCTTCTGCCTGTATGTATTCAGAGCGTCGGCCGCGTTGTATCGTGCCATCTGCTACATGATGGTGGGTGCCTACTACATGTTTTGTAGAATCGATGCCATATTGCAGCATTTCCGTGAGTATCCATAGGCACACCCCGGTTGACTGGCAGTTATTTTTTTATCGTTCTGTATTATGTGTGGTTTACAAGAGCCCAGTGATTCGTCAGTGATCAGCGTTTGTCAGTGTCAGCTCTTATTTGTTGGCCCTATTTACCCTTATATTTCTATTGTACTGCTTCAGTCGTTCGGGATCTGGACAAGTGCTCAGACCGATACAATTGCCGCCGAGTGCCCGTTATGTAACTGGACTTCAGTATGATGTTTATACTGATCAGTGCTTTTCAGAACCGTCACAACGACGGCCTTGAAGTACGATTCTCGTCGCTAGTGATGACGATATGTAAATATTTGGAAAGTGCAGCCTTCTAACATCGATTGCAAATATATTACAGACGAATTTTACAGGTATTTGCCATTATTACTGTTCGTGCGTGAATGATACACACACTCGATTTTAGCAGCAAAGACATCATGGCCGGGTATCCTATCATGCAAGGATTGCGGTGATCCCGGTTGTTGGGTACCTCACATGATGCCCACGACATCCGACATCAGCTGTAGGTATGTTACAATGGGCACGATTGTTTACTGAGCGATACCAAATTGTTGTTCAATTCTGCGTATGCAGTGTCAAAGGATGGTGATCTTCGTGCTGATAAAGTTGGACTGTACAGGAGATGCTTGCGCCAGATACAGTTACAGCTCCTTGTACAAACTACGCTGACACTGTACAAGTCTAAAGTTTACTAGCGAATATGATCATCCTTACTAAGGGAAGTATTCGGTAGATATTTGCCAGCGTCAGCGCTCAATGCTCTATATCGGGTTATACAATGGTCAAAGGGCACAAATGTGAGCTAGTACTACCATGATTTTTGTACACAACCAAAACGCCCTATTACTGTGTCTAAAACGCGCAGAGTGTATCGCGCACGCTACTACTGAAACTGAGCAAGTACATCCCTGCCATGAGCGCTCTGTTATGATGGTGCCAGAATTGGTGCACCTCACATTATTGTGCCATGAAATCGGCAATTGTAAGCCAAGCACTACGATACCAGCCTCCCAGTAGATCAAACTCTGGCCCACCCACATTGCTTCGACGGGATTTTATAGCCTCAACCCTTGAATTAAGCTCAATTGAGCGCTTGCAGGCCAATCACAATCGGCGGGATAGGATCGGCCGCACAAAAAAAACATTAGCGTTATGCAATCGGGGTTTCCGGTCAATATGCGCCTGTCAATGACTGCATTTGTCAACGGCTTATAAAAAAAATGCTAAAAAAATACTCAAAACATTCCCACTGCGAGGATCGAACTCGCGGACTTTCGCTTAGAAGGCGAACGCCTTACCACTGGGCCAAGCGGGACATGCTTTCGAAGTATATGTTTTTAATATATACAGTTAGCTTTTAAAAGGACTAAAGATTTTATGTATAAACTCGCCATTTATTTAGTACCACTCCTTGTCTATATCAGTATATCGGTGCTAGTGGAACGAGCAATACATGAAGATTCTTGCTGTCATCATTCGGCATAAACCCGCTACAATTGACGCGCCGGTACAAGATCTTCGTTGCCCTGCAGTCATACGCTGCTCGACACTTCCCGAATATTGGATGGGTATCACATTGGTCGTAGCGTTGTAAGTCCGCCAGAGGCTATAAAGTCAGAGTCGGCAGTAATCATATTGATAATAAAATTAGTATCTATACACCCATCTGGGGGCCACCATAAGCCAAGTCAGAACCAATGATAATCATATTTAATGATACTATCTATGACTTTGGCGCCCGTTTAACGAGTTTGAGAAGCAGCGCTCGTGGCACCTATTCTCCCAACGTAGGGCGGACACTCATGGCTCATAAACATTTACATTGTTCGGATATCTCTTTCTCCCGTGAAGATTGAGAAATGGCTTGCATTCCACCGTTCACTCTTACCTGCAGGATATCAGTGTAAGTTTGATTAGCTGGACTGTATATTGCCAGTATTCGGAAACCTGCAAGTTACTCACTAAGTACTGCCAGCTCCATTTCATATGCAACAGAAAAATTAAAGACACTCATTCAAGTAGTCTTCCGAACGGGTTTTATTTATCGGTTGACATACAATTTATAGCAATACAATTGCACATCTAGCGTAATCCAGAAGCTTCTATCAAATAAATAAGCGTTAAGTGATTGAGAACCATGAGTACTTGATTCCCGATTCGCTTCCAGAGTGGTACGATGCTCGGAGTTCTCACACTGCTTTGCCCTGCGGAATACAGGGTGTCCACTGAATTGACTTCTGAATTCAGCCATTATGACTTCCAATTATCTCATATCAAAGACTTTGCAAATCCGAGAAACCCGCCGCGGGAAATGGCTAGCTGAAGTTATCGTAGACGATTGTCACTACCGCATAGAACAAATTCTGAGCACACCACTTAGTTGTCTGGCGAGATAAAGAGCACACATGCTACGTTGCTGATTCTATCAGAAACGCCTCATATGCACTAATTAGGGCCTTGACCTCTTCCTCGGTGTTGTGTGCGTGCAGTACCACTCGCAATCGCTCGGTGCCTGTGCGTACAATGAAGAAACAGGTCAATGGATTAAAGGTTAGCAGATGATAGATATATTAGTGGGCTGACCACCTACTCTAGTAGTAAAAGGCACGTGTGCCCAGTTATATATATAAACAAAGGAAACCAGCATGGAGAAACAAGATAGTCTAACAGGCCAAATAAAGGAAAATGTAGTCCAAAAAATAAAAAGGAATCTCAGCTCGCGAGAGCATAACATAGTTTGCTGTCCATTTTCACAGACTGGGAAAAGTACTTACCTTTGGCTACCGTCGGGCTGCGAATAGGAAATGTCATGATTCCACGGCGCTACACGGGAAAACAGCATGCACAAGTTAGCAAGGGGTATACTATGCGGACGATCAGAACATACAAGGTAACAAGCTGTCCAGAATCGGTGGAATGTCAATCGCTTTGTATATAAATATATTTCTTTGTGTGCAAATATGAATCCATTTAGCATCTGATGTGAATAAATATGCTGGTGCGATGCTGGTATGGTCTGAATACTAACATAAGAACTCTAAAATTGACTGGTTATAGCCAATGATATGCGTAATAAATACAGTGTATGTGAAAGAACTGTCGACAAATTTCAATTAAAAGATCAACTCCACACAAATAACTACGGAGCAAATGTAAATATGCAATACAGTGTTTTCTCTAGAGCTTTACAAAAATACACGCATCTGCACACCACATGAATATAGAGAGATGAATATATGCATGCGATGTACGACAAGATACATACCTTGAGGTAGGCTGCGGCAGAGATGGCTTTGTGATTAGATCCAACGACAAGAGCCTAGACAAACAGAGATATTTGAAGCATTAATATCAGGATGCGTCGTCAAAAGCACACCACAGACGTTGTCTGTTCGACAAATGCTTCCGCTGTATGATTTGTACAGCTCAACTATGAAACGGGTCACGCAAAGATTAGCATAACCCTGTCGCAGATGGTATAGCTCATCCAGCACTCCGACTATATGTTTTGGACGGCTCAACGGTATGCAACGAGCCAAGCAAAATCCGCAACCGCCGCAGATATACGAGGGTATGACAGATGATATCACTTCATCAAACAAGCGACCCACATACATGTAAGCATCAACGACCATCCAAGAACCAAGCAAAATCTGATCTACTATTGTATTCCAATGGTTAATTACACACGTCAACCGCGAGTCCTACAGACACTCCCGTATGCACGCGTACAAATACATGATACAAGTAGTACTGGAGAGCCAATCCCAATTTGCAGCACGTGAATAAAAGTACCTCCCCTTACATTTACGTGACTACGAAGTAGAGCTGTGTACCTCGTCTGCATAGTATCTACGAGAGTGCTTATATATATATATTCACATTTATACTACCGTAAGAAGTGTGCACACTACCTATGTATATATATATATATATATAAATATAAATATAAATATATATATCCATGTGCATACTACTGTATGAAGTGTGCACATTACCTGTATAGGGCTGTTGCTCGGTATATAGTCGAAATTCGGAGTGCGCTGAGCGGCTGCGTGTGCCTCAGCGCCAAATAGATTGATGAGATCTATAACATAATTTTTGAACGGAGTAATTAAGTAATAAATCCGTTTCTGCGTATGCGGACACGATTAGGGTCGAGGGTTCGAGGTTGTTAAGTAATGCATATCGTTGTGTGTGTATATACAAAACTCTGTCGCGACCAGAGTTGAGTGTGCGGCTATTTTTATTATTGTAGCTGACTGTTGTGCACGTGTGTATACATAACTCGGTCTCTACCTGTGGTGAAAGTTTGCGTATCCATGGAGCGTTTTTACTTTTTGTGTACATGGCAATCGAAACTTTGAGAGGCCATGTGATATCAAGAATTGTTCACATGTCGAAAACGCGGCGTTTATCATTGAAAGAAGATGAGATTGTAAAGTTGCGAAAACTGTACAGAATACTTAACAAAAAAATTTAACGCTATATAAGACATCTGGGACCCACACTATCTAACCGTTAGTCCTAAGGACAATATAGCACCTAAACAACTAGTTCACTTAAGCACACGAGCTTGATGACATATGAGATATACAATACTCTCTGCTCTGATGCAATATAGTTCTGTACGGCCGTTTACAAGCACGCATACAGATGACAACGAATACAAACGCGCAATACACATATTCTTTCTCTTGCTTCCGAACACAATAAATAGAACATATAT